TTTCTACGGTTATGGTTACTTTTAGTATATTATTGTACAAAGTACAAATAAAAGGCAGGTGTTTATGTGATGCCAAAGAACAACATTGAATTATATTGTACAAAAATACAAAATATATAATAGTTACATGCAGATAACATCATTATACGTAAGTAGCTTATGATCATAAGTAGCATATTTAAAATGTCGAAATAAAATATTCACCTAATAAGGCTTTAGGTTTACAATACATTTTTATTATTTGATAAAAACACCAACTTTCAGTCAAAGAAAAAAAAAATGACTAACCAATAATTGATCATAATATAATATACGAGTGTATTTTCAAAATGTAATACCTAATATATATTAGTATTTTTTAAAACATTGGTTTTGAGTTTTTTCAGAAGACTTGCACATCATTAAATACGGTTTTCCGAAGCAGGCTTTATAGTCTGTGGTTTAATGACCATGTTAAGATATAGCATATTATATATATATATATATATATATATTTCAAATAGAAATAAATAAAGAACCAAAGTTCGATTACTTTGTTATGTTGTTATGGGCAAGTTGACATGGTTCCATTTAAACCGGGAAATTAGTTGCTATTCGTCCTCTTCTACTCCCCGTCTGTCGCTTTCCGGCTAAAAGTCGTCGCACCGTGTCCAAACGGCACTCTTATATGGTCAAGGTCCGGTGGAGTCCATTAATTTAAGCCCAGCAGGAAATGTCCTGAACAAATAAATCTCGCCAAGACAAAAACCATAATGTTAGCTTATTGTGTCCCTCAGCCAAATCGATATAAGGATACGTGAGACGGCTATATACGGTATTAAAATATCACTGGTGGTTGTAGGTGCTGGCTGGTCACATAATATACGCATTCCTGTAGTCATGCTCACTTCCGGACAACAGATGTTCGACTACATTACACCTCACCAACTACAAGCGTCTCGAGCGACGAATATTTCCAAATGAATTATAAAAATTAAATGCTCCTCTTGATGGTAAATAAACCGGAAGTGCGTTGCGGCCGACTCGTTAACTGCCGCTACGCTCTACAACTACAGTGTCAACGGAGAACCTCCAGTTTGACGATATTACCATAACAAAGATAGAAAAGTTTTCGAAATTCAATCGCAAGCAATTGGCAATCTGTTACCACTTTTTTTTATTTCTTTATTGATATACATATACATATATATATATACACAATCAAAAGAAATTCCATTTTAGATGATAAAAAAAAAGTGTCGATTTGAATGGGAGACCCTCGCGCGTTGGTTATATTAAAATGTATTGTCAGTGGAAAACAGCCTGTTTTGCATAATTGAACGAAGAAAACATAAGTGGTCCACAAACTGTATATTTACTTTTTAGGTGTACAGCAATAATATTATTATAAAGGAGCGGTGGGTGGGACAACCCTTTTTATTATATCATTTTTATTGAAAATAATATTTGATAAAAAAAACGTTGACATTAATTTGCCATTAATAACATCGAGGGTGGAGAGAAGTCCTTTTGTAATTATTTCAACAGCGGCTGCCCCGTCGATGACGACAATTGGAAATAAGCTATATATATCTTATCTCGTTTTTGTGTCTCATTCGAAACCAATTTATAACAATATATTATTATCGTTCTCAAAAATAATAGAAATAACCATTTTTACGACAGTCCGTTGTCAGACATTGTTGTAAGATCGATTTCACGTCGTTGATGTTAATTGCGTATGCACCTATACCGCGAAAATATATATTATGACTTTAGATTTAAATATAAAAGCAGCCAGACAACTATATATCATTATATTCTCTTAAATCGTCGAATATTAGTTTACGGATATTAATCAGCAGCGATTTGTAACCGATAATGTCACCCTTCAACGGACTCGTTGTTTAATTGGATTTGAATGGCACCTGCCTTATTATGTTTCTGGATTTTTGATTCAATCGAAATCAATAGTGACGTGAAAAAAAATACTAAAAAAATACCCAGTTTACTTGAAATTTAAATAATACTTTTGTTATGTAAAATATCAAATAGTTAAAAACAATTCAATATGTTTTGTTCGTTCCATTGCATCGTTTATTGACTATTGTTTCCCGCTGATTGCAAATATATAGTTTTTTTCTTTTTGATACCTATTTATGTTTCGTATTATATTTCGAATTATACGCCATTCGATATTTGATATTATAAATTTAAGTTCAGTTATTGAATTAAAAAAATAACTATAAAAAAATGCACACAATATGTATCTGAGCTACATCACTGTAGATCGTTTAAATTAAAATTCTTCTGTTATTCAATGTTTTGTCAACAATTACTCATAAACATTTATTCATTTTGTATTTGTATTTTTATGGAAAAGTTAGTAGGCACTCAGATTCATATAAAGATTATATTGATGAATTATATTTTGAAACATAAGTAGGTATTATAAATATATACAACAAAACAACTGAAACTGTAAAAATAAAACTCAAAAATAATTGGAAGGAAGGTAACCTGTTGTACAATGGATTTGAGTGTACCTACTACCTTGTCACTGAAAAGTGATTAAGATGCAAGTGTGAAATTTTAATTTAATTATAAATCTTTACAAATGAAAAATGATTCTAGGATTGGGTGGCTACGAATTATATTATTAAAAATTTATTTGATGATAATATATTCATCACTTATACTGATATTATAGTAATATGTATAGATCTTACAATTCCGTAAACCATATAAATTTTATTTATATATTTATTWTTATTTTTTAGTTAAATTATGAACTACTTATAAAAATCATGTATTAAATACAATTTGTAGATGTCAAAGATTTATAAATAGCACAAAAAAATTAAAAGATTTTGATATGCCATTATAAAGCTTTGGCGAAAATTAAATTATCGACTCTTTATGGTTATTTATTTTTGAATAACAGTACATAGTAAACAAATTGATTTTGTGAAAAACTAGTTTTGTATAAAAATTTCAGTTTTTTTTTGTTTTTCCCATTATTTTGTAATGTACGTAAACTGGTTGTTTTTAATTTCAACCGTTCAAAAGTACCAGTTAGATTCACTTCCAGGAAATATATTAAAATTGAATATCAAATCATTTTTTTCTAGTGTAAAATGAGTATACACTCACCTACCCACCTATCCACACACATGCATGTACATACACACTCACATCATTGTAAAATTGACAATACATTACTTCATTAAGAATTTAAATTAATAATAGCTAAGTATATAATTGAAATAAATTCTATTTAATTAATGATTGGAAAATGATTGAAATTGAAATTAAAAAAAAAAATTAATAAACATGTAATTAAGTATATTTATTATTTTATTAATCAAATAAATTATGMCATTATGTACCATACAATGAAAGTTATATAACAACTATAGGAGTTCACTCTATTCTTCATAAACTAGAATAAGTACTTGATCATCAAAAATTTCATCTAAACTATTAGTTTATTTACTTTTATCTTTTATTTATACAGCAATTAAGAGGGTTGTGCTATACCGCCTATACCCCTATTTTTATTTCAAAATACCCTAGACGGTGATATACGGGTGGGCTAATTTCTTTGATATGAATCCTGGAAATATCGAATCAGTAATTTACTATATATTTTTTAGAACTTGATTTTCATTCATTGSATGAACGATAGAATTATGTTGACAATATTTAAGCGGTAATAAGTGAAATTTACAAGTCTTCTAAAAAGATACTTTCGTTACAAAACTAAACATAAAAGTTTTGTCTATTATTGCAATAATCGTGGATTTAAATCAATATAGAAAAGTTAAAAACGATCGTGGACTATAATTTATATTAATTATTATACATTTCATCAAATGTACTTTTCTAATATTATTTTAGGGTTTTTTTTTAAACTTGTTGTATAAAGGTACAAAAATTTGAATTGTTATAATATAATTGTATCATACGGTAGAGGTATCTAACGTCATTAAATAAATCATAAGTTGTTAGAAATTAAATCGTGTTTGAAACGTTGCCAATATTTTCCAAAAAATTTAATACGATTTTGTTGAGAAAACGTCATTGCCACGAATATTTCACCCTTTGTATAAAATATAAACATTTTGCATTTATCAGAAAAATATAGTTTATTTTATAATGTGTCAATGTTGTATCTTAGAATAAATTATGATGTTGATAAAGATTTACTGATTTATGATGTACCTATAATTAGTCAGATACTATTTTTCGAATTTTAGTGATTTTCTTTACTTATTCCCAGTCCCAATTTAATGATAACACAAGTATCTAATTTATTTTATTAATCGGATCTTGAACAATGTATTTTTTCGTTATTATTTTGGAAAAAGTACAATCATAAATAATAATTTAAAATAAGAACTTGTGATGACATTATAATATACAGAGTGATTTTAAAAACATRCTCAAAAATTCCATTTAATCGAAAATTCTGTGTTATTTTATGCAATAATTTAGTAGGTAGTTAAAATATATTGCATGTTAAAGATTTTTCGGTGWTTGTAAAATTGGATATTATAGGCTTATATAGGTGTTACTTAAATTATATTTTAACCTCTTAACTAATAGCAAATATTCGAGGTAATTTATCAATCTTTATTTTGTCAAAGCGTTCAATAGAACTGGAAAATGTAGAAAACGTTGAGTTATTTGATATAAATAAAATATAGATATTCATAGTATTTTTACAGAAAAATATATGTACACATTAATGACAGTTAATAAATTATGTTAAATGTTGAAATAGTTGATTCTGATGACCGTTGAGTTTTTGTATAATATAAGTAAACATTAAAAGTTATTAAAATATATTACTACTTCATTAAGAATATTAATATTATTTATTTGGTTTAAACAAAACCGAGACATTTGCAGATTAATAATTTGGACGTTAACAATGAATAACGTTATAATTATTGGCCATAAAAATTATAATATTTTTTGACGATACATTATTTATAAAATATAATTTATTTCCATAGGGTGTTATGGATATCAGCCAAAATTCACCGAACCCATTGGCAACATCACCGTGCCGGTCGGCCGAGAAGCTATGTTTACGTGTTACGTTCACAGCTTAGGTGGTTATAGGGTGAGTATTATTTTTTTATTTGTGTGATATAATTATATTTTCATTGGGCACGTAAAAATTATTGAATTAGGAATTCTTCAGGTTTTCGTAATTAATCCCAGTTTTGCAAATAACGTTATGTAGAATTGCAAATTCTTAGCTATCTCTTAGATTCATTAAAATGTCTAGTTGGATACTCTTTTAATGTTCTCAAGTTATTCAATGCGCAATTAATGAATTCCATAAAATACTATGCAATAAATTTCTATTTAGTGTACGATGTACATGACCATTTATTTCTGAAAATCCCTCCAACCAAAAATATTTATTTCTTCGGTTAATTCAAAGCGTTTTATTATATAATATAATAATATACTTTAAAGAATCGTCTTGGAACTTTACCGACTTAGTGTTATTACTTATTCTGCGGTTCGAAATCATAATAATCGATGTACACAGTATATACAAAACAATAATTTGTGATGATTGACTGATGATTTGTTTGGTCTACGACTGGTGATTCTATACTTAATAAGTTATTAGAAATAACAATTACTCGCGGTAAATTTGTTTAGTGCTAAATAAGGGATGATTTACAGTCGATACCTAGTCAATGAATTGAATTTATATTATTTTTGCTGTTTATTTGTCAATATTTAAAATATTTTTCATAATCTAACCGGGTCTGTGAACTGCTCTGGACCGTCTTACTAAATTTGCATCAAATATGCTAACTAAATTAATGAAATAAATTATATTGTACTGCTTTATAAACTTTTATTTTACGTTTTATTAAAATTTMAGATTTAGATGATTTTTATTTAAACACATACGCGCAGACAATGATTTGTTTGATTATCTATAGCTTTTTAGCTATAATTGTTGCGGGAAAAATTATATCAAATAACTACCTTCATCGAATAGTTGTACTATTGAATTTGATGGACGACCTAACCTAACATAACGCAATATTGGAAATGTGTACAATGTACATAATATTATAAAAAATGATTGCCGCTCCTGTCCTGATACGTGCAAAATAAATTTGAAGTTGAATATTATAATATGAACGACAGAATAGATTGAGTAAATATTTACAGTATAAAGGAAAATGTTATCGTACATTACAAGCTGCGTATAATATGAGAACGTTTTCCCGAGTTTTTCTCTCAGTAGGGTAACAATTGGTGGAAAAGTGATTTTAGCCTGCGGCGAAGAAAACACGCAGCGAGCTAGTCAGGGAGWGATAGAGAGATGAGGCGGGAGAGGCAGTGAGAGAGACGTTAAACCAATAATAAAGCGGGACAAGTAACACGTGTAATATAGCGGTGGGTCGGAGATATTATTGCGGAGACCAGGTAGTTATTATTATTTCATAGTGGGCCTGTTTTGCATGGCAAACGATTGGAATATCCGGAGACAAAATTCTGAATACTACTGTGCTAGCTTCCTTGAATACCAAAATAGCCTCACATGTGCGCACACGGCGTGGTCGGTGGGTGGGTGGGTGGCCGGTAGGCGGTAGTKTAGTCGAATGTGTATACTGCACCCATTGCGAGGATACAACCGGAAAAGCAATTCGAATGCAACCCGCCAGTGATTTATGACACTTTTATGGCAACGACTGTACAAACGTTTGTTAAATTGATATAAAATTACGCGCTCGATACGGATAAAACGGATGAGTTTTTGTTGACAATCGGATTCGGGTGTCTTCGAATAAATAGGCACTCGTTTCAGAGAGAACCTGTAGTCGATGTTCTGTACACCAAGTGAGCCTCGTGGAATTAATCGAATTGTTTTTAACATCGATAAGCTACCTACAGTCCTTCGGCAAAATGCATAGTATTATTGATTTTAATCATAGATATAGACGGCAGTACAATATGTCTTTAGGGTTCTGACTCTGAAATGAGATAATTTTAATTGGATTAACGCTCTGGCCGGGGCAAAGCCAATTAACTATCAGATATAGAATCCACACTCCGCACCATTGTGACTATCGCGTGTCTCGACGTCTATATAGTACTAGTGTTCGTCGACAACGCATAACATCTTTATTGTTCGAAAGAGATTTTCAGATAAAAAAAATTACCAGAGTTGATCTATATGTATATAATAATATACATAAAATATAATTAAAATGTTTTTGTCATATTGATTTGTCATCCAACAGATTATTACTATTATTAATATTTAACTGTTTTTGATCGTCAAGAAAAAACGCTTTAAAGATTCTCAACATAAACGGCTAAATCAACACTAGGTTGTGCGTTTTTTTTATTGTTATTAGTTGAGGAATTGAATTAATTTGATTAATTATGTTTAGTAAGTATTTTTWAAATTAGATTACTATTACAATAGAAAATCCCATCTTCTATAAACTATTAATACGTTTATATAATATATGGATATAATTTCGATTCGAGTACACAAATACTGATTACCAATTCGGACTGTGTACACCAAATAATTATTGAAATAATTTTTTTTTTTTTTTAAACGTAAGACATTCCTAGCCTAAGGCTATCTAAATCTAGGGATATTTGACAGTTTTAATAGTAATAGTTTTAACATTATAACATGATAATTAAATTTTTTTTTAAAAGTATTGAAATAATAAAAACCAAGCACACACTATTTAATATAATTTATTGTTAATAATGTATATACAAATCTAAATTGGTTTCTTATTGGTTATGCATTCAGTTACCTTAAATAAGTGAAGGACTTGCTCCATGTWTAAGTTGAATTTCACAATTTTAATGTTACTACAATTTTTGTCTAAAAACTTAAAGCTAGGTTCGGGCTATTTATTTTACAAAAATTCATGATAGCAAACAGTTTATATTATTCATTTTTTATTTGGTTGATATATGTTGAGTCTAATTTAAAGATTRGACAAATTATGAAAAATAAAGTTTTACAAAATAAGTGTTTTGTCAGAGCGTGTTGAGGGTGGATGATGTATTGTAACCAACAAATGACAGATTGCGTGTTAGTTGAGTATACATCAGTGACCTGGCTATTCAAAAATTATTTTAAAGCATAAATCTCCATTTATTATGCTATCAACAAACTTCAAAAAATGTAGTACATTTTTATAAGTGCATTGTTTAAACATGATACATTTAATACAGTATAATGTATACACGCTTGTAACTTGTTAGAAACAATTGAAAATGTGACTGAGTAATTTGTATTCTAGATTCTAATTGGATCCTAACTAGCTAGACAATGATACTTGAATTTTGAGTGAGGAAAATGTTTTTTAATCAACAACGTTGAGAGTAGKTTCAAGTAGTAAATATTTGAACTTATTGATGCATACAATGAGAAATCAAAATTGTAAAATATACTTATTATAACGAGATTATTATATTATCTATTATTATACTAGAGATAAAATATCAAAAAACATTGGGAAAATAAAAATATTAATGAAACACCAGTTTTAGACTAAATCAATTTTGTGTCTTGTTTTTTAGAAGAAAAATATGAAAATATAATACATAAGAACTCCATCAGTTTTTTTTATATCAAAGCAAAAATATTTATAATATATTTTTACATTTACATTTAATTGCGTTTGAAAATTTAAATTTTGATAAAAAAATTGAATTCAGTTGAATTAAAGAAATCCAAATAATTTTGCTGCTTATAAGGTTTTTATTTATATACCTAAACATTAAAAATCGAATACGAATATTCTCGAAAGTTGTTTTTATAGACATTTGAAAATACTAAAGGTACATAGGGACATATTTGTATAGGAACTTTATAGGATAAAGATACTTATTATTTACCTAGGAAAAAGGTAACAATTTTAACGAAAATATCTCAAATAGTTTTTAGTTATTTTGTTATAATTCAAAAAAATATTACTTATAGAGACTTTTAATTTTTTAAATTATACATCAGTTACATATCTTGAATGTTTTATACAGAATAAAATATTTATAGAAATGTATTAGATATAACATTAAATTATAAAAATAAACGCAAATCTATTTTGTTTGGAATCTTTTTTTGAATATTAAATGATTTTTGATTGAATTAAATTTAACACATCACATTTATACTAGACAATAAAGCTACTTACACTTTTTAATCAAATTATACAGCAGAAGCGGATTTCCCTGGTTTATTTTTAAAATCACCTTTTTTTTTTTAATAATTTTATTTTTCTAAAGCAACGCATTATTTAAATCGTACAACAATTTCTTTGAATTTTCCAAAGCTTATTATGAAAATCAAAATTCAATTAATCTATGTATGGTAATTTAAAACTATTATATAATAATATTAAACATGGACAATAATTGTTTTTTGCACATATTTATAAAAATATAATTATAAACTTTATGAAATAATATTGTAAGCTCAGTATTTTTGTTTAATAATTCATCGCTAATTAGTGTAGTACTGTTCTATAATAGTGTCCAAATGAGTGTAGAAAACATGAATGAATACGTCATATAATATTATTAAGTAATAATCAAAATAAATACGGGCATTGGTCAATACAACCACACATTGTTGGTAAGGCTTATTACATATCACTTTCAACCATKCTCCAAATGATAGTGTAAGTCTCCTTAAATGTCCTTTCTACTCGGTCAACCATTTGTTAAACTTTAAGGATTGTTCAAAGATCTGTTCGACAAAAGACGTGCTGATTGTTCTCGAAAGTTTAACGAAACCGAAGGCTTCACCTTTAGTACAGAACTTCCATAAGTTTGACTGAAATCTGATGGTTTAGATCTTTCATTTTTATATCTTAGTTTTTGATAATTCGATTTTTTTAACCCTTTAAATTTAATCTAATATTTCAATATCATTATGATACTTTGTTAGGTATGATTTTTTTTTATTTACAAGACAATAAGTTTTCTAAATTTTCAGATTTTCGTATAGATTAATTGTTTCATCTATTAGTTATTATCATTGTGAACTATTTAATTGTACATATTTTCGCAGCCAATGTAATACCATAGATACATGAATAAAGTGATATATGTATGAATTGATTTTACTATGATGTGTGAGTGTGTTTTTTATTTGTGTCTATCATCACATTTCAGAGCAGTAWGAACYTTTGAATCATCAATTTGAGAAGGGTTTCTGTTAAAAAAATCTATTACTATCTATTTTGATGCTTTTAATACCTACATAATTCCTTGTAGGTTTTTAATCAGAAAAAAWTTGAAATCTTATATAAAACATGTTTTCTACCATCATATACATTTTTATAGTTAACTACTAACTTTGAAATTTTCACCAAATCTTCATGTTATTATTTTGAAATATCTCTCAACTTTTTGTACTATTTTTAGACTTTTGAAATTTTTTACTTTTAAGATACATTTTTTTTTATTGATAATTCAAATTTTTACGAAATTATAAATATCCAATTGTATATGTATATATATATATATTTTTTTTTAATTTAAAATAAAAATTTACAACCTATAGCTTGTTTAAAATAAGCAAATTTGGTAAACACGTAAATAAAAATTGTATATTTGTATTATATTATTATCAAACCATAACAGTTTTAGCTATTTAGTATTTCAAAAAACATTATTGAAAGAGACTAGAAAGTTTGCTGTCACTGTGTATATAATATATTTTATATAATGATATTCTCTWAATATTTGGATTAATTACAATCTATTTATATCACGAATATATTCACACATATTTCTACAGTAGGTAGGAATTATCCAGTAAGTGAACAAAAGCTAGTAATATTAAACGAAATAAAATTGGAACGATTACTATATAATATAATATTATGCTTTTAGGGTAAATTTTGGTTCATTACATATGAGTCATATGACTGCGTATTATTAAGAAAAAATAATTAATTACCAACACTAATATATATATATATATTATGTATACCACAAAGGATCCTTTGATATATAATTGCTGGAAGATGATCTCYGCTAAAATCGTTTTTCATTGCATACAATGATTTATATACCCAATGACTAGACACTAGATACACTTTAAAAATTCAAGTATACATCAGTATTATTTTTATCTATACATTTTGTGTAGTGCAGCAGTATCAAAGTTCCTTTAAAATGGTATTATTACCGTTCAAATTGTAAAAAAGATTTTAAATAAATTTAAAAACTCTATAATTTCTCGTTCCTAGCTTTAGGAACTAGTCCTTTCCTCGTTCCCTAATAAAGAACATTATTACTGTACCTCAATGGTTTTAAAACTGTATAATATAATTTCTAATTATAAATTCTTTAATAGATTGGTAYCTATTTTGTTTGTTTTTAAAATGTTTAAATTGTTTGTTATATTTAAGTTGAGACCGATAAGACCACCCCACCATTATTGACTTAATTCTTTTTATTTAAAATTAAATTAACGTCCAATTAAAGATTAAACAAATACAATATTGTTTAAGTTCCTCTAAAAAATTAACGAAATATAAATATATTCTTTCATACGGAAGAGGAACTATGTTCTCGTTATGTTGCTAAAAATTGAACGAAATCATTTGAGTTCCTTGAATATGTTCTTCTCAATCACTGGTCTATAGTGTATATATAGATACTTACCTACCGGCTTTTTTCCCTCAAAGATCGAAATAATATTGTTGAATCGTTTGGTTTCGTAATTTGTAACATAATAACAGTAAAAACTACTGTATACARCAGTGAATAAGATGTACACTGTGTTGTTGGCTATATAAYATGCGCAATTGAATAATTTTTAATATTTTATATATTCCCATGCGCAATTATCATAATTGTCTATTTAATTATTTTAGGTTGGCTGGGTGAAAGCCGATACAAAAGCCATTCAAGCTATACACGACCACGTGATTACACACAATGCTAGAGTATCCGTTTCTCATACAGATGATTCAACGTGGAATTTACATATAAAAAATGTACAAGAAGAAGATCGTGGTCAATATATGTGTCAAATAAATACTGATCCGATGATAAGTCAAGTAATTCGTTTTGTACTAGTTATATAGTACTTATTATAAGTCAAAAGAACTTGATAKGATTTTATCAAATAATGTGTTTTATTAATTATGAAGCGTTTGTTACCTTTATATATTTAATAATGGGAAAAAAATAAATTTATCTATTTCTTGTTTAAATATATATATATATATATTTTAATAAAGTTTTGTTTAATAAAATTATTTAATATTAATATTATACTACAAAATACAGATCAGTTTTATTAAAAATTATCATGGTTTTGAAGTAATATTAATAATAATATGAATTGAAGCACTTATTTTATATTACTAAATATTATAAAAGGTGTTTGACATATTTTATGAATGAATTACACATGTACATTTTAATTTTAATTACGTCTTTTGAATATAATTATACCCGATTAAAGGTTAATTTTTTATACATTTATGATTTTATATTTTTTAATTATAGCAGTTTAACATTTTTTTGGTTATAATTTATTTTTAAATAAAAGAAGAAAAATAATGACTTCCGGATTCTATTATAACTTAAGTTCAATGTAGGGTGATAGAAATGAACTAAATTAACATTATTTTTACTTATTTTCGAGCCCCACAATAATATTTTCTTGTTGTGTTGAAAGATTTCATTAAAACTGCTAATCTTTACACTTGGTTTATTCACTACTATAGCTAACGGAGAAAACGATTTGGTAAAAAGAGTGTTATTATTAGCTCTTCTGATAGGTTTATTTATTTTTTCGTTCTTTATTTACTAATATATCATACATTTTGAAATAAAATGTTATTTTCGATGAAAGTAGAACTCCAGGCAAAACAATTCCCCACAGACCAATGAACAGGAACGTTATGATGCATAGAATTCCATTATCACGATTGACAGTACAATTTTTCCTCCAAAATTAAAAAAAAAAATACATAATATCAAAATCGTTAACATTTAGTTTTGTTTATTAGATGGGATATTTGGATGTAGTGATACCTCCCGATATTATTTATGAAGACACTTCAGGAGATGTAATGGTACCTGAAGGAGGAACTGTGAAGTTAACATGCAGAGCCAAAGGCTACCCGAAACCACACGTCTTGTGGAGAAGAGAAGACGGACGAGAAATAGTTATCAAAGACGCAAGTAGCACTAAAACTAAAGGTTAGATATTATGTTTGTTTTGTCTATATATACGATTATTAAGATGATTTGGAAAAAAAAATGTGGATATGTGATAACGCGTCTGACATCACTTGTTAAATACTTATATCTTATAGTTATATCATTTTACCCAAACATATTAAAAAACTGAGTTTTAGTAATTTTAATATTTGATTAATAAATAATTGAGAATTYTAAATCACAAAAATAACGTTTTCCTCAATTATATAATACGAACTTGCGGGTTATTGTTTTGTGAACATTTTATTAATAGTTTTGGTTCATAATATATTTTTTAAATATTTATTTCGTCGTAACGTTTGATAATCATTAATTTACTTTCTTAAACATTTGTCAATTTTTTTATTCGAAATGTAGTGTACGACGTCCAGTGTTAAGTACAACAAAATTAGATAAAATTGGTAAAAAAAAAATACGAAATTTAATTAAATTTATGATAAAATCTGATATGATATAATGCCTCTAGTGATAAAGAGATGGAGAGAGAGAGAAAAGGGTGTAAGATGACATTCAAACTTTATACGGATTATAATATATGGGTGTGTTGTCATTCAAACCCTCATAATCATTGTGAAAATCTCCAAAAACCACTTTTGAGTTTATATATGAGATGAACTTATATATCACCATTGTAAATTCATTTCTTTGACTGCAGTACTTACCTGTTTTGTTGACAGTAGTTTTATCAATTTCAAACTAGAAGTTGATTTAGTTTAGTACTTCCGCGATATCGCAGGAAATTAATTGACTCACGCAATACATATGATTCAAGGACCAATAAATATTATGATTTAATTTAATGGATTTTGGTTTTCAAAATAAACTTATTAAAATACTATTTTAATTTAAATATATAAATATAATTTTCGATAAATAGTCGTCGTTTGTGCTCCGTTAACATTGATTTTCTATTTGCCTTTCGTATTCACTTTGTCAGTTGTAATACATAGGTACCAACACATCCAGAKGAAGTACCATATATTTACGGCGTTTACGTATATTAATGGGTTTGGTTTGTTAAATATATTTTTATRTTTGTTCTCTTCTAAAACTGAAACAAAATTCAAAACATATTATTGAACTAACTGAAATATTACAAATATAGCATAGCCTATAATTATTGTTTTAGGATTTTAATTTGTCAATCACTCAAAATTGAATATTTTTGTTTATAAATAAATTACATCCAATCGTCCAAATGGTACTGCCTCTGCATTTCTATCCGTACAATTATTCTATTACCTACATCATCTTTATAATAATTACAAAAATATTTACAATCGTGTGAAATCTATATGACGACATACCTACYATATTATTTCCCCACTATAATAAATAGTTCTGACATACTCACATACTTTCCATTATTAATGAACATAATAAACTAACAACTGGTCAAYTTTAACACTTTTTTAAAACAACTAGGCCAAACATTCATACCTAGCGGAAAAATCAATGATAAACATCTTGAATGTGGCAGCCGAACCAGCAACCATCGTGGACAATTTTTTTATATATTATGTCTTCYAAACTAATCAAAATTCTCTTCTTCTTTGGCCCAACTCAATAATCCTCGTTCTCAAGTAAACGCTCAGATWTCCTCTGCATCTTTATTTCCAAACTACCAAACAGCCTTTAGTACCTTTAAAGTTCTTTCTCTTAGGTCACCATTTACCATTTTAACCAGTTTGATATACCAMCAATTTGAGAATTCAAACCACTACTAACAAACCAATATACATAGAACTTCAGTCTCTAGAAAACATTRCCAACACCGTRATCAAGTTATATARATTAATAAAAACGGACGCTTAGAACTCCTAACATCAACATGTTCCTTCATTTTGCTTAAATKTTACTGCTCATATATTTCGTCACGTTTATTATAAAAAAACATCTTGCTATTACACACAAATATAAATGTAAAATGTCTAAAATTGTTCTTCATGTTTAATAACTATTACTTTTACTTATAAATCTTGTAAAATGTCTCTTAAGTATCACTTGATTTATTTAAGTCATAAAAAAACTGTAATCAATATCGGTTAGGTTTCATTTAAAATTCTTCTATTCAGTCATTCAAATTCAACRAAACGTTAAAAAATTATTTTCCTCTTTAATAATACACATGCATTCATATATATTTTAATATTTGATTCGGGGAGAAAAAAAYATTATCTATCCCATTCCGTATATTAATATTTAGAATCAAATTGTTTTAGAATTTAGTGTTTATCGTGTTAATATGTAAAAATCGATACATATGTTAAACTTAAAAAAAACCCTTATTGTTTAAAAAAAAAAAGTAGTTTGGTAAATTAAATGAATTTAAAAAAAATATATCACTTGTCAATGAAACGCATTTACCATACATGCAAACTTTTATGTTAACATTATTTTATTTTAATACTTTCCGAGCGTAATATATTAATTACTGATTATTGATTATGAATTCAATTTGGATGAAACTCAATATTAATGGGCTTATAGTTTGTCAACTACATTTCATCCAATGAACTGAATGTTATATCCATAGTTCAGCGATCTCATCGGTTCTGTTTACATTTCAATAATCGAAAATATAATACTATGTTGAATACGTAATAATTTTTGCTCTTAAAAATTAATTTCTATACTGATTTTTTGTTAAATTCTACTGGACGAACTTTGCGTTTTGTTAAATTTGTTATGTCAAACTCTTCGACTAATAAGCTAGTTGTTACCTGCCACCACGCTACCGTCTCTGTCAAAAACGTACGTTTTTGCGAATGGCAGTTGCTCCTTGATGCAGCCACAATGGTCCTATTGTCATCACTTCGTAGACACCAGACGTGCTTCGCTCTCCTCTGAATATCTAAAATAAAAAGAAAATAATAATAATAAAAAACTATGTTTGAAACTCTAGTTTGAAAATGAATATGAATGAAAAAAAATAATAAGGAGAAGAAAATAATCGATTCCTCTTAATCCCAGTTTTAAACTTCAGATAAAAGTTTCTTCCGCTCTTCGTTTTACTCACCAAAGGCTTATTGAAATGCAGAGAAACAAAAAAATATATSGCCAGTTGGCAAAAACAATGGGGCCCGATGCAACCGAGATAGGGTAAAAGTATGGATCAGACGGTTCGGACTTCGCTTTCAACCCTCGCCAGAGTTTGGGAGTGGGAGAAAAAAAAATAACTCAATGTCATCATTAACATTTTTTGTGATTATTTTTTATTTTGCTTCCTCTCGATCTTAATCGAACCCACAACGTCCTATTGTTATCCAGAATCTTTTTAGAACACGTGACTTGATACTGCTGAATACTAAAATACTAGGCACTTAAAAAAAATACCAAATTTTATATCCCTGTACTGCCTTTTAAAATGAAAAAGATGCATTTTTATTTCTTTTGATAAGATATTAAAATATTATCAAAATAAATTAAAAGTACCTATTTATATATAATGTGATACTTAAAAAAAAAATTTTATTTCACAACTATCATTGTGTGTGTGTGTGTGTGTGTGTGTGTGTGTGTGTGTGTTATAGAAATGTTGTTAATAAAAAAAAATAGGTAGCATTATTTTTAATTTTCTCCTTATAATATTATACTTTATATTACGCAGTTTTGCTCAAAAAAGTATCAAATTGTTTTAAGCATTCCTTCTGATAATAAATCCAAGTCGTATGAATGAAAAGAACAGTTATGTATAAATAACAATTTTTTTTCTTTTAATTATTGATCTTGAGCCCGGTAACTATGGCCATCRGCTTTTTCGGAGGTTATGGTTGGGGTTAGTACGGTTGGTACGGTAGGTTGACAATACGTTTATRTGTGGAACGGTTTTTGCGCTCCTAAGTACCCGGGTGGTCACCCATCCGGGAAACTAGTGGTGACGAGTGGTGCGTACTCTTAAATACGTTGCTTGAATGATTGAAGAAATCGCGCCACGCCAAGCCACAAATAACATTTTAAACAGAATTTATTTAGGTATACATAATAATTACAAATATTATATATATTCAGTGTRTCCCACGAGGTTTACCCATTGCTATATCTCCCGAAATAATGGAGATATCAAAATTCTGATACCTAATTCTTGTGACCTAACCTAACCCTGGGRCAGGKGTAAGAATTAAATTTTTTTCATATTTTAATGTTTTGGTAAAAAAGTTTGAAAAATATATTTTTTTATTTAATTATTTTCAAAAATTCACTCTAGCCATTTTGTAGAGTTTGTTTTCTGAAAATAATGACATTTCAAAATTGTATTTTCATTGATTTCCTGATCTTTAATTTTTTTTTTTAGTTTCGAGAAAAATTGTGAATTATTTAACACCGTAGTGTTATCAAACATGTGACCCGCCGCGTCGCGTGCGTTCTCGTACGGCCGACCGAACACTTTCAGTATATTATCTAGTTATAATCATATTTTATTTCTTCAAAACTAGAAAAAAAAATTAAAAATCAGGGAAATAATAAAAATAAAATTTTGAAACGTCAATATTTTCAGAAAAATAAACTCTATAAAATGGCTATCATTCTTTTTTATTATTTTGGAAATATTTAAATATATTTTTTTAACTTTTTTACTAAAACATTTAAATACATTAAAATATAAAATAATTGTAGTTCTTATCCCTGTTAGTTTTATCACAAAACCAGGATTTCAATATCTCCATTATTTCGGGAGATATGGCAATGAATAAATTCTCGCGGGACACTATATATGTTTATAAGCTCACTTCTAAAAATACACCATTGATTCATAATTACATGATACAATTTGTATCTCTTCGACATACTATTATCACGATTCAATTATTATATTTTTAATCCAGTTATATTTATATTATAAACATTGTGTTTTATTACAGAATTTTTTTTTTTTAATTATAAGATAAAGGTTTCAACATCTTGTGGTTATAATATAGCCTACAATTGTAACAAGCGTAAACAGGAATGTAGTATTCAGAGATATTTAAAATTCGCGG